TTCAGGCTATAGGCCGGGTGCACCTCCACCAGCTATATCCAATCAAGCGTATAATATGTCACATTCTTCGCAGCACGATTCTCGTCGACAGGAATTCGGAGCACCACCGTCGTCTTTTGGTACGTTCAGTGCGGGTTTCAGATTTCGCTTTCAGCACTTCCTCATATTCAGGCCACTCTGATTTGATGACACGCCCCACATACGATCCATATTTGGACAATCTCAAGAGTCCTTTGATTAAGGATGAAAGTGATGGAAAAACCCTTAGGCTAAGGTTTGATATTTCTGCCATTTATGAAGCTATATGTACATTTTGAAAAGATTTGTTGAAGATTCGATGTTGCTCAGTACAAGCCTGAGGAGGTGACGGTGAAAACAATCGACAATCGACTCCTTGTTCATGCCAAACACGAGGAAAAAACGCCGCAGCGTACTGTTTTTAGAGAATACAATCAGGTCAGTGTGTTTCCGTCTGTCACTTTGACATGTTATCTTGAATTTTGCTCTATCTTTTTCTTTCAAAATGCGTCTGGTCCATTTTATTGTCATAAGCTTATCTGAAGCTGTGACGAACACTTTTGTTTGCTTTTGTTTCCATATGCCATAAATGTGTTTGCACAGGACATACTAAAATACGCGCTTACAAAACTTATCTTCGAATTTACACGTAAGATGGCTTTCTTGTCTATGTTGCATTTTGCAAGGACGGCGAATGAGCCTTTGTTTCTAGCTGCTTTGATTGAACAGTCCTACTATAAAAGTGAATTGAGCGGCTGGGAAACTCATTCAGCTCGCTAATCGATTAGTAACACCATTTTAATTCATTTCTGAGTAAGTTTGTCAAACAATGTAAGCAAACACCTTTTATATCTTTTAGTTGTTTAGACTAGCGTTTATCTTTCTTTTTATTCGGCGTCGGCAGTGAATTTTTCAGTCTGGGCCGTCACAGATGCCTTTGTGCTTTGCTTTTTCGGACTCGGTTGCAAGGCTAGAGAATGAGAGAGATATT